ACATGATTGCTCCCTCCGATAGTTTTTTTCCTCACATATATGCACCATAGAAACTCATTCATTTAAACGAAAACTTTGAAACAAGCGAGAAGAATGACTCTGTTAAATCGAAATGCAAATTTCATTTTAAGATGTGTTAAGTATCAGAGAATATTGGGAATATACATTCTATTATCATTGTCCATCAGATAACGAACATGGCAAAAATTGCTTCTGAAAACTCTTTAAAGACTTTCTTTAACTTTTCACACAGAAACTTACTGATGTTAGTTGGTCGAGCAGTCGAATTAAATCAATTCTACATCGAAAATTCATTGTTTAATACTGGTTTTGTGACAGATTAGTCGACTAATCGATGCAACTTGGTAAGCACTTTCATAAGACTGAATTGTTTACAAACATCGGTGATTATTGATGAATGAAGTGACAGAAAATCAATCGATGATATATTTTGCGTAATGTCAAGGCACCAATTCACTGAATTTTATTTGAAATATGGTAGCTTTTCGAAGAAAGGAGCTACAATAAAATCTTTCTCATTGAGCATCTCTCTCAGATATAATCAGTCTGCTATACTAAACACTCTCCACTGGTCCCAAGCAAATTTTTCTGAAATGGACCCCTTCTAATATGACCACTCTGTTGTTTTGAATGTAAATGCATGTTTTAGGTCGCTACCTCATTAATAAATCCTGCCAATATGAATATCATCAGAGGACGTCAATCGAGTAACGAATGCCATAATGTAGCGGATTGACTCGTTCATTGATTTTTGAGGGAAAGAAAGAGAAAAAGTCAATACACACAAAAAAATGACAATATTGCCTTGGTTCACTCTTTGTCGGTTACTGTTTTGCTGTTCACTACGGCTTCTCGTCATAAGCTCAATCAGTCGGAAAAGATAAATCTGATGAAAACAAAGAATGTGTTGGCTTGCATCGTGAGCTAAATAAGAAACTCAACCATCGCTTCACGTTATCTCTAACATTCTCAAGATAAATTGTTGATATATGAGTGATTAGAAAAGGAATAATAGTGTGAAACAAAAGTTCAAAGATTGTTTTAGTCAGATAGTGTACCATAATGTGCAATAGTGATTCGTTTTGCAGCGTTAAAAGTGTAACACAAGTGACATCGAAAACCAATATATATATATATACGATGGAGATTCAGTAGAGTCTAGAAGACTTTTCAAAGAGAACGCCAAATACAGTTGTTCATCTTCATTTAGACTATCTCTAAAGTGATCGCATCGTCATCAAGAACAATTTTTGGTAATCGCAATGATGTTCATAATAGAAGACTTTTACTGTTTTTAAAAATCTGTATTGTTCAAAACTTTTCAGATACCGTTCTCAATGTGAAACGTTGATCCGCAATGAATATATGGTATAATTTGCTCTGCTCTTTTGATTGAGTCAATTAAAAAACCTCAAACTCAATGAGTTTGGTTTTGGAGCGTTTTCTAATTTCCTTTCGTTCTGTTATTCAATTAAACGGTTCATTGGATCATTCTTCATTTGATTGTCAAAGGTAGATATCCTTGTACATTTGTGGTGAAACAGTTTATTGATGTATGGGATACGTTCAAAATATTCAAAATCTATAAGTGTGTTTGGATACATGCCTACCTGTAACTAGCAAAATGAAATTCTGTCTATCAACGATTGATTTATCAAAAGAAACAATGAGAATGAGAGAGAGAGCGGATAAATATATATTCGAGTACTAGTGATATTGAGAAATGTAGATATTGAACGTCGCTGACATATGAAAAAAATGAGAAATTCTTGTTCGATACTAGTCTCTCTCCGAAAACTCCCGCTTAATGTTCTTAATTTGATATGAATGGCAGGAGCTCGAATGTGAGTGTGGATCTTATTCCCATTCAGGACCACGCCAACACATCCACTCACACCCCCACACAACAGTTATAGTCTCATATAACACCATATGACACTTCCAGCCTCACTCACAGCAATACCCATCATCAATGAAAACCAGTTTTCATACAAAGTAGAGAAAATAAACATATAGTGACATAAAATTTTAACATAAATACAAGACAAACTTTTTGCAGCACAAGCTACAAAAAAGGAACAAATGTAATAGATAATCAGATTAATCATGGCAACAATTATTCATACGACTCTTTTGAGTCTTAAATAAAAATTTCTGTACTGCCTATGATGAAGAGACATATACTTTTCTTCCAATTTCGCGTATTGTTTAAAATAGCTTCATGAATGTTCAGTCATCCAATATCGAGCTGTTGTGACGTTAGTTTGAATTTACATCTCACTGCTTCTGGAATCAGAAATGATACAAAAACAAGCTCTGTTAAATGAGAACAATAGCTTAAAAGCGTTTTCTTTCTTTTTGAGATACAATTTAACTTCGTTAATTCGATGAGCCACAGCAGATCTTTATACATAGCTTAGATGTTTAATAAATTCTTCTTTGCTTGTTGTGGAATCAAGTTCGAGTAGTTGCTCTTGAAAAAATACTATATCGACCAATTTGAGTGCAAACAGAGCTTTTTAAGTTCGATCACAAAGAATAAGTACTGCATTAAAGAATGGAATGGAACTACAGAATTAAGAAAAAAGGAATATAATCATTGATAACGTTGCGATCTAACCAATTCACGAGGAAACAGATTTTTCGATGTTGCTTGTTTGAGAATCTTCCATAGATAATGGGGATTCTTTAACGTCTACATAGATCTAAAATGAAACAAGACATTGTAAAAACTGTCAGGATTATCATGACTTACCTTATTCTTCAAAAGAGCTTTTTAAATCGGTTTTTTAATATTTTTCCGAAATATTTTTTGTGCCGTCGCATACTGTTCGTGAAGAGAAAGAACTTGTTCGAGCATTTGTCGGACATATTGTCAATCAAATTCATTTCGCTTCAGTTTAGGGTGTGAATGTGAATGGTTGACGCTGCACATTGTTTCTTCATCTGTACCAAAATCCACCAACACCTATACACCCCATTCCCGATCGTGTCCAGTTTTTAATTTAATTTCGATTGATATCAAATGCTAGTAGAAATATCTGAGAATAGACAAATATCGACACATTGGTTCTTTTAGGGATGAGTGCCAATCAGGATCAGGTTCTAAGAAAAAATATGAAATCTATTAAAATATTTTTTTTTGTTCTAACGGAAAATGTCATGCACGTATTTCAAAATGTTCAGAGCTGTTCTACTGTATTACGTATTAAAACAGTATTTTCATCTATGAAAAGAACAGTCTGAATTCACTTAATTTACTAAGCGACTCAACAATCATCAGTCAACAAGGATAGCTAACAGTATATGTCAGTTAACCAGTCGAGTGAGTTCATTCGAATCCTGTTTTCACAAATGGATACACCTCAATTCTTAATGATGTTGAATTTTTCTATTGCTTCATTTTTCTATAATAGGATTATTTTCCTTCGTATGACCTACGACTTGTTTAATTATTTTGCCAGATTTTACCTTTGATAGAAACATAATGCAATAGAACCAGATTTTTGAAAGCAGTGTATTAATTCATTAAGTAAATGTGTACAATATCTACTGAATTGTTTTACATTATTCAAACATTAGCATTGGTCAATACAGGACCGCCAGTTCAAGAAGAACGAGGCTAGTCTGGACGGTTGAGGTTTTCATAAATTATAGAACATGTTATATTTCTTTCGTGGAGCTCGAAATATTTTTCTTGTTGCCTATCAACTTTCACAACGATTCTTACTAAAAACGATTGACTAGTTTTCTCTGAAATGTTCAATCTGTTTCGTGGTTTTTAACTCTTTCAAATCAATCCTAACTCAATAGACATTCATCGATTTCTCTCATATGCAAAACAATATTCAATGTATCGAATAAATAATGAAAGATATAGAATATGTAGACAAATATTTGCGTGTACGTGACAGCGACATCTGTCTATGTTGATTGTGATGTTTTAAACGAGTGATGTATGTGCAGGTAAAATGAAGAACGAAGAATAACAAAAGTCACATGGCTGCTAAATACGACGTAACAACACTCGATCGTTATTTGGACGAAGATTTAACGTTAATAAACAATAAGAATGTGTGGAAAGACTATAAACGTGGCGCACAATATAAAGACGATATATGCTATATTTATAAACCACCGGGTGATTCTATTTGGTGGATTAAATTAGTCGCACATGTCGAAAATGGTTCAATGGCAAATATCGATGATCTACTTGATGGCAGCCTCAAAGAACGTCATCCAGAATGGCATGAACTTTTTATCGATGGTCGAATAGTACACAAGAACGAGGATGGTCGAAGTGAAATTTGTTATTTTCAGTAAGATTTATTGCGATAAAAACAAACTTTATAGTTTATCATGTGACTCGGATCGAACTCGTCAAATTTATTTTTCCTTTTTTTCCATGTAGTTTCATAGATTTGTTCTGCACTTTTTGTTATCAAAAAAATGTACTGTGAAATTCTCAGCAAGAATATAAAAGGATGTTTTATCTCAAAACGAAGTTACTAAAAAAATTATGAAATAATATTGTGAAGCTTCAATATGGCTCAACTTTCTAAACTTTTTTTTTCTCTTGAAAAAGTCAGAGTGTTTTCTTAAGTTGCACAAATAAAAATCGTCAAGTCAAGTTTTTCGTTCATTCATTCGAGAACAAGAATTTATCCAACTTATGAAATATGAATGCAGCACGCCATACAAAAAATTAAAATTAAACCTCATAGACTCACTATTAACCTATGCACCTGGACTTTCTTGAATATTCCGAAACTTCTAATCCAAAATTATGATTTTTGCAAAATCTCAAAAAAAAAACATTTTCTGCTTTGCATGGTGATACAAAAACATTTTTTATTACAACAAAAATACAAAGCTTTTTCAAGCCTTACAAAATGACTAGTTAGCTTTTTTTATACTTGAA